GAATTTTAAAAGACGATATCTCCGTTTGCATTGAACTTTCAGCTTCGTAACTTTGCAGATATTGTTTATGCTCAAACAGCAACATTACACACTAACTAACGTTAAAAAAGTGAAATCGCAATGAACCACCCCTTTAATCTTAAACTCAAAATGTCATAACCTTATCTTCAAGTAAAATGGCAGACTTCATTCTGGAGACATATGCCGGACTTCTCCAATCATTTAGCTCCCCCACAACTGACTGCAAGCTTGCATGCAACGCCCACATCTCAAAATCCATTCAACAACCGATATATAGAACCAAGTCCCCTCTGATATTTTTTTCCTTATAATCAGATACATGTACATCACAATATGAAAGAAAAGATCTGTCGCTACTTGTGTTTCGTCCTTTAAAACACATGTTGGAAAGAACTATGCTAATTGGATACTTATACTTGTCAGTTTATCGTCATCAGACAGAATTCTCACATCGATGCAACCCAAAAAATTATTTACCAGGTTAAGGGGGCAAAATTGATAAATTAGATTGAAATAAAACTGATAATAGGAATAATAATCACCAAGTCTCAATCAAATATTTTTGTATTATGTCCTCTAAGTTGCAACTGATCATTGTGACAACAAATTTTCTATACTGTACAGTAGGGATGGATGTCCAATCCTGTTCCAACAAGATCTACCTACCTAAAGAGTTCAGTTCCAGCCCTGCTCCAATACACCTGTGTGTAACTATCAAGTGCTCCTGAATATCTTAACTAGCTGGTCGAGGTGTGTTTGATCAGGGTTGGAGCTGCCCTTACCATGAAGTTAGAGGACAGGACTGGGCACCCCTGCTGTTCGTTTATTTTATACATACACTATCATTCAAAGTATACAGTGTTAGTCTATGAGTTTCTATTCACAAAGTAGTAATATATTTATTTATTTATTTGTATTTATAACAGTAATAATACAATTATAACAATGGTATTATACTATTATTTATAAGTAGTAATAAGCAGAATAAATGTACAGTTAGTTGTACATCACAAAATAAACCCAGACAGAGTGATCAGGACTCAAAGTAAACACACATGGGACACAATCAAAACTGTGATCTTTCTACCTGATGAAAGAGCTGCTTTTTGTGATTGCAAATCATACTTCACTGGCCACTCAACAAAGGGAAGAGAAAAAAAGCTTTGTTGCATGCCTCGCTGAGTCAATTAGCATGGTCTGATAAGCACTCTCGTCTATTGAGATCAGATGGAGAATTTCCAAGGCAAATATTTTCAACAGTCACCTAAAGGGTGCTCTTTATGCTAGCTGCAATCCTCTATTTGAGCATAATTTAATTTTAAAAAAAAGCAGGCCAACTCTGACAGAATGAGATTAAAATGCAAATTATCCTCCAGAAATGGTGGGGAAAGCACTGCATACAATGGCAAACTATCAAGCTTTTTCCTGAAAAGGTCGAAAAATGTGTTTCTATGAATAAAGAAAAAAATTGCCAGCAGGAGCCACAGTTTTACAGGAATAAGAGAAGATTTGGAGGGGCCAGCTTACTTACTATACTCCTCTCTCAAAACACCTTCCACAAACATATACAGACGCACACAAAGGATCAGAAGTGAAAACAGCAAAACTTAAATTCAGAGTGGCAGTCGAACGGGTTATCTACACTTTAATCTGAATCGTGTGCTTGAGTGGGATGATCCGGCCTGATATGGCAATGCGTGGGAACATTGGAAGTGACCAGAAGAACAGCGTGGGCCTGCTTCATGAGGTACAACCTGACCCTCGGGGATATGACTTGTCAAATAATGTGTTCAAGAGCATCAGCTGTGTTTTCTGACACCACATGCATGCATGCACAGTTGCACACATACACGGGTGCAGCAGCAACACAGGCACATGGCTGTTTTACAAACGTACCCAAAACATTAATGTGATTACAGGCACAAAGCCTTTTTGTATGTTTTCTCTCTCTTGCATGAACGACGACACTGCAACATCGAAGTACACACAATTAACGGAACTAAATTCACATGACCAACAACCACAGATGACACGGAAAGACAGATAAGAATTTGGGGCACATGATAAAGTGCATGACCTTGAGATAGTTTCTCTATGTCCACAGTGTCAAATACCCAGCTGCCAATGGAAAAAAAAACAAAAAACATTTCAGTCTGAGTATGTGTGCTTCTCTTAACTACGAGGAAATGAAAATGCACACTTCAAAAAGTGTGTCTGAACTAAAACGTGCTAATACATGTGCTAAAACTAAAACATTGACATTCTGAGAGGCACAATTTTCACCCTGTAAGCATTTAAAAGATGCAGAGGACATTTGGATGGGGGATGGGGTCTAAGAAGGCATATTGTAGTAATATTGTAGAAGGCAATATTAAATATATACCCCAAAGGATTCACAAGGACAAAGGCACAACAGATACCAAAGAGCCATACAAATTAAAACATTTGAGGCCTGGCCCGAAGAACAAACCGCAACACTGACTAGACCAGAAGCAGAGTAATCTATTTTACAGATCCATCGAAAAATTGGGTGGGTTGTATGTGTGGAAAACTACATATTTTTGGTGGTTGGTGGTTTGCCGTATAATTCAGATTCACTTGACACATTTCTAAGCGCTATTCACACAAAACACATTCTTGTGCTTAAAAAGATGCAGGATTGAAAAGGGAAAAGAACACAGGGTCTCCAGAAGCATTTTTTTAGAAGTCGAACATCTTTTAAGTTGACAAGACGTAGCCGCTGAAAAAGCAGCGAGATGTGGCACAGCACTCAAAGATGTCCATGAAGAGCATGTTGTTTACATAGAAAAATAAATAAAAAACATACAGTGGAATATAAAAGCACATTCTGTGAGAACCAACCCGTAAGGAGCACGTTCTTGAGTTCAAAAACATCTAGATGGTATGCAATGGAACAGAACGTAGTGTCTCAACATAAGTTTTAAAAAGTGGGGCTACATTTAACTTAACACTGCATCTTAAAAACTATACACTTAGAAAAAAGAACAATGTGAGATGTGGCTTTAAATGGGAAGACAGCTGTCCAACAGCAAAATACAGCACTTCACTGAAAATAAATTTCACATATACACTACAGTTTAAAGGTTCTTCTATACAGCAAGGATACATTAATCTGATCAAAAGTGTATTTTTTTGTTACAAAAACTTGATTTCAAATAAATGCTGTTCTTTTTAACTTTCTATTCATCAAAGAATCCTGAAAAAATGATCAGTTTCCACAAAAATATTAAGCAGCAAAACACTGCTCATATTGAGAAATGTCTCTCATGTGACACTGAAGACTGTAGTAATGGCTGCTGAAAATTCAACTTTGCCCTCACAGGGAAAATATATTATATTATATTATAAATATATTAAAATAGAAAACTGTTATTTTAAATTGTAACTTATATTTACAAATATTAAAGAAAAAAAAACCTCCTGCAAAATCTTTTTTTCATACAAGTCAACAAGTTGACATTACTAATCGACTAGTCGGCTGATGGAACTGTCATTACACATACAGTTCGTATATATACACATTTTTTTTTAAAATCTAAATATTGAGAGTCAGTCTTGGAAGTGTGGTAAGAGGCCAGTGTGACTTCAGATGGGGAAATGTGATGTAAGAGACAATACATAAAGCAAACCTGATAAACACTACTGATGACAACAATAGAAAAACAGTCTGTCTGAACAGACTCAAAAAATTAAAAACAGAAAACAGAAACTGCTCACCTTGTTCGTAGTGCATGCCAGGCAGCGTCCACATCAGCATACAAATTCTTCTCCGAAGGCTTCCCTGAGCTTGCCCCGTAGCCCGAGTAGTCGTAGGAGAACACGTTACAGTTGATGCGGGACCCCAGGCCGATGTAGAAGCTACTCATCTGGCCCAAGTCTACAGCATTACCATGGGAAAACAATAAGGTGTAGCGAGCGTTGGGAGAACATCGCACAAACATACAAGCGATTCGGTTCCCTCTAGATGTCCGGGTCATGAAGCACTCAATGGTGTCCTTCTCCCGGACAGAGTACTGCCAATCCGCACGCTGAGAAAGATGGAGGGTCCAGCGGCTGCCGCTCTCATCACACATCAGGGTGTAAGTGGGCTCCGGTGGAAGGAAGGCCAGCTTGGAAGCTATTCTGCTCGGGCACGGCGGACAGCAGAATAGGCAACATAACTCACTCAAAGATAAGTGATTCATCCTTCATTTGAGAAGAACACAGCAGATTGGCAAATGAGTGAGGTGCAAACAAAGTACAATACAAACAAACAAAACAAGATGTTTTAAAAGGATAAATCCTGTCATTTACTCACCCACATGTCATTTCAAACCTGTATGACTTTCTAAGGAGCACAAAAGAAGATATTTTGAAAAATGTCAGTGGTTTTTTGTCCATACAATGAAAGTCAATGGGGTCCAATGTTGGTTTGAACCCCGCTGATTTTCATTGTTTGGACTAACATCTGAAACATTCTTGAAAATATCTCATTTTGTGTTCCACAGAATTATGAATATCATACAGCTTGAAGAGTAAATGATAATTTATTTTCATTTTTGGGTGAGCTACATTTTTAAAGGTGAAGCATCAAGAGCGTAATCTGCATAGTCAGAGGAGATAGAAGAAAGAACTTAAAAACACATTTGAAAAAGCACCAAATCAGACATATCATCTTTAGCCAACACACCATATTTGCAAACAATCTTTACTCGAAGAAAACCATAATAGTTTACTTAAGATAAGAAAATATGCAGACCTGTTAGTTAATCTCCACTGAACTAGACAGTAACTAACATCTAGTGATCCAATACAATGGGTGAATTATGTCCTTGAATTGTTTATGCCCTGCAGTTTCAAGTAATTCAGTTTTAAATGTGCACTGTTAGGATACAAAATACAAATCGAAACAGTATCTGGGATGGAACTAAACAGATTTCATTAACAAAAATGTTCAATATTCACCCCGGTTCTGCAGCGCAGGCAATAGTTTCTATCTTTGTGCTAATCTGATGTCTTTAATAATGACTTTCAGACTTCACCCTTAGGATAGCTTTGACGTGTGTGCTATCACTTTATCTATGAGTCATGGCAGCTGAAAAACACCCTCATTTTTTGGTTTCTTAGAAGAAAATTTGGCTAGACTTATTGAAATATCCAGTGTATTATAAATCTGGAAAACATATCAGTAATCCACATCACCGCTTCCTAATATCCCAAATATTTGTCAGGAAATCACTTCACCTTAATATGGACTCCAAGTAAGTGACCTCACATTAATTTAGTACCAAAATAACCATTTAAACTCTTAACAGTTTTCTTAACTAACTGGTGGACCATAGTGATAAAAACAATGTGAATCAGAACCAGATCTGACCCATGATAATCAAGCCCTCATACTCGGTTTCATTGAGCAGGAAACCATCTTGTTGTTTGGGTGTTTTGGACTTCACACACAACATTCCAAATGTTTGGCTTCCATTAATATTTTTTCTATTTAAAGATCAGAATGGGTGAAGTACAAGAACTGGTTATTTCACTCACTTTTTTATTTTTTAAGATTTTTTTCCCCCTAAAGTATTAAACAATCACTTTGTACACACGAATACATATATATTCAAATAAACATTAGACCTGTTTATTATAATAAATAGATGTATCTATAAAACATTTAAGTATTTGATAGCATGATCTACATAGTTATTAGTACATGATTTTAAGGTATCAGAGAACGACACAGACCTCAACTGAATCAGCAGTGTTTGCTAACTGAAATAAGCTTAGTTAACATTTTAATTCCATTGTCTAAAGGAGTGTAACAGCTTAATTGAAAAGGCTGAAGCGAACTATTTGATTAGCATGGTCAGCTAATTAACGTTAGCTCATTAAAACCGTACTCTACCTGTACTAGAAGGTCCTGATGCTGGAAGCGTTGGTGAAGGCAGGAACGCTTTGATCTGGTGAAGTCACTGTATCAGATGAGTCGAATAGGAGATTCCCTTTAACCGATCACTCAGTCCACTTAGCCAGATCAAGAGTCCCTCAAAAGCTGCCTCTGGTCCGTGCGATCTTGACAACATGTGGTCAGTGTTTCATGATTAAACGAGATCAAAGACTGACGGTGTTAATACAGGCGTGACGTTATTAAATGGACCAGTATTTCTAATCTAATCCGTTCGGTAAGGGTGATCTCATCTCACACCAACGCGTGCCCAAAGCTGGCTTTCTTCTGATTTTCTTGCGGAATGCCGGATATCAACGTCAACGATGAACGCTCTAATGACCAATAAGATTAATGGACAGATACGCTCAACCAATCACACGCGTCCTCGCTGCACCCGGACAATGTCGAAAACACAATAACATTATGATTAATGATTTTACTGTTGTTGATGTATAAATCTAGATAATGATACATTTGTTGAGCTACCAAGAATTAAATATTACAGCTCAACATTTTTAACGTTTGCTGTGTTGAGTGAAGTTAGTAATCTTTCGTGTGAAGTTGAAAAGCAGCCAATTGCTATTTACTTCCGCTGTTTTCGCATTGCGTCAATAGCCACTTCAACGTGTGTGAAGCCACGCGGTTTCCTATTCGGGCGTTTTAAACTGTCACTGTTTATATACTACATATATTTTAGTGTTAAAATGAGTTCTCAAAAAGGAAATGTTTCCCGATCGCGAGGCCCAAAACACCAGAATGTAACAGCCTTCAAAAATGACAAGTATGGTGCAAGCGCACAAGTTAAGGTAAGCGCGTTATGAAATAAACAGTGTAGAATCAGATTTACATTTTATATAATATCAGTATTGGTTTCCGGGAGTTTATATAGCTGTTTCGGTGTTTAGGTCATTGTTGCATGTGTTTTTGTGTGTAATCGTCCCTTATGATGTTACCAGAAAGCCAAAGCAAAGGTTCATGATGGTCTGTGCCAGCACTGCAGAGATGTGCTAGAGTGGAAAGTCAAGTACAACAAATACAAGCCCCTTACACAGCCACGAAAATGGTGAGATGAGGGAGGATTTACTGCATAGCAACAAATGAAAGGCAAATAAACTCCTCCACATTGAACCCATTTCTGAAATGTTGTTTCTGTGCCTTTTCTAGTGTGAAGTGTCTTCAGAAAACAGTGAAGGATGCCTATCTCATAATATGCAAGCCATGTGCACTAAAGCTAGAGCTTTGTTTGAAATGTGGGAAGAAGGAAGACATTGTCATTCCGTAAGTAGATTCAGGCCTCTTTAGACTGACCATGTACAGATATGTGTAAACAGTAGAGCAGGTGTGCCATCTTGTGGATAACGTTGTGCATATAATGGTAAATTTACAGCAAAATATTCCTTTATTATTAATTTATTTCTGGCTACTTTCACTGCTTTGTTATTATATCAACTGTGCATCATTAGAGACACTTCTTTAATAAGATTAATTAAAATTACCCCGTCATGTATGTGTTGAAGTGTGTTAAACTATTAACTGTGACCAAAAAATTAAGTTCTTATAATTCACAGTTGTTTTAGGGTGTTTTAGTGTATCTGTCTGGTTTTTGTTTTCAGACTTGACAAGGAGGAGGAAGAAGAGGAAGAGAACACCAGCAAACCAAATAAAGAGAAAAGACAGAAAAAAAGAGATGAGGAGGAAGAAGTGGATGAAGATTTTGATGACGTGGGCGTTAGCAATGATGACTGTGATAGTGATTCAGAGGCAGAAGGAAATTGACATTTGCAATTTTCTTTATGCATTACCAGCAAACAACTAAACCCAAGAACAACATATCTATGGAAACCTGAGGCTGGGTTTTGGACATGCACTCACCTGTTCACCTGCTGTTAACTGGGGAAAGACTCCCAGGAGGTGTTTTCCTGTTGGCTGTAGTGATTGTTTGTTTTCATCTAGACCCCTTACAGTGATCTTGGAGGAACTGAAACAGTAATATGCCGAAACCCTCAGTCTTGTTTTTTAAATCAACACAAGCATTTTGATAGCATTCATGTTATTGAGAAGCTGTGTGAATGAAATGTGTTTTATTATCATATGAAGCACATTTGGTGAAAAAAAAAAACAGAAATGGGAAGTACTGATGAAACAGGTCCATTTAATAAAAGACCTACATGCAAATTTTGTACTGCTTAGACAGCTGCCTGTTTAGAAAATTCTGAATTACATTCAATGTTAAATCTACAACTTCAGTGTCCTGTTTTCTGTCTTGCTGTCTGTGATTTTGATTTTTGATTTGATTTATTTTTAACAGGTTTTTTTTTTTTGAAATATCCTCTTGCATATCATTATGAGTGGCTGCAAAAATACAGGGGACCTACTTTATATTAACCATCATTAGCTATTATGTACTAACATTTAAATGAATAATTTGCAATGAACCTATTGTGTAGATACATGTATTTACATTGTACTTTTTAAAAATGTTTTTTAAAAATACATACGTGATAATTATTTTCTGTAAATAGTGCTGTAATTACACCATTTAACCCACCCTTAAACCTACCCATACCTCTAAACTTATCCCTAACCTTAACCATATCCCACCTCAATAGCAGCAAGTGTTTTACAATATAAGCAAATACACTGCAAATATATTTTGCAATATAACAATAAGCACATTTGCATCTAACAAGTAATCTTTTCTAATGTAAGTACAACTAATATAAAGTGGAACCAACATAGCTCTGCAGAATATCTTTTCTGAATCAAAAGGTATAGTAACACATGTTAAATCACCATGTGATCGCAGAAGTAATGCTATGAGGTCATAGCCAACTATTTCAAGATTTTCAGGGAAATCTCTCGTGATGTTTAAGGAAATTAAAAATAGTCTGTTTCACCCTTTGTGCAGCATCTGAACCACCTGTGACGCAAAGTCCTGAAGAAGTTTATAACATGATTGCTAACACAAAAACCAAATATAAACTGTTCTGTGTAAGATTTGAGGAACTGTAACCTTTAATCCTGGATTTTTGTCATGCAGTTAAGTTATGAAGCAATAGGGGAGACCCGTATCACATGTCTGACTGTTTTACCATCTCCTTTACCACAGACATCAAAATTATTCTATCCACAGATTGATTTATTTATATTATGTAAGTTAATACAAGTCAACAGTAAAGTGAAAATATGTTTAATGGCTGTACTCTTTAAAAGGAATAAATGTCCAAAATGATCATGATTTTAACAGTAAAAGACAAAAAATGCTACAGTAAAAACCTATTAATTGGCTGACAGGAAAAACTAATGGACATTACATGTCATTTTACAGTAAAATACCGTTTTTGGAACTGGAATTTTTTTTTTTTTTTACAGTATATTAGTATTTTCCTTCTCAGCCTATAGAAAAGCTCCTTGTGAGGAGCTGTGGTTCATCATGCGACTTTCTAATCACCAGCTGTTTTTGATGGTTATCAGTGTATTATTACAAAGGTACTCAACAGATTTCAGTACTTCAATAGGTTGGTATGTTAACATTATATCAGTTAATGAAATACGGTTTCTAAATGTAAATTTAAGTTAAAACCTAAAATATTGCTACCAATTTTTTTTTTTTTTTTCAGTGTGTCGAGTATGTCACTGAAGGGCCAGGAAGGAGCTAGTATGGCTCAGTACAACAGGGTAATATCCCAAATGCAAAGCGTGTTTACTTGAGAGATGCCACCAAACAGTGAAAGTTTAAGTTGGAAAGTACCAGCAAGAAAAAGAAAAGAAAAGAAACAAAATAACAAAAATACAATTAAAGTTCAAAACAAACATGATGTTACAAAACACAAAGAAAAATGCTGTAAGCAGCAAAACCTACACTCAAACCACTTTCAGGGGCACACCTTTCTATACAAACACATCTCACTTCAGACATGCATCTCAACGAGATATTAAGATATGAATATTATATTAAGCTGGTACTCAGGTGATGACGTCATCATCCGGATCGTCATAACACAGTGAATAAATGTAGCTTATGTGTAAGGAATTCCCCTGTTGAAAAAACCAGCATATGCTGGTTAGGTATGTTTTGAAGCATGGCGGCTGGTTTGAGCTGGTTTAAGCTGGTCATGTGCTGGTCCTAAGCAACTAGCTCCTGCTCAGGACCAGCTTAGGACCAGCTCATGACCAGCTTAAACCAGCTCAAACCAGCAGCCATGCTTCAAAACATACCTAACCAGCATATGCAGTTTTTTTCAACAGGGACAGCTATTGAAATCATTTTCACTTTTCCTTTAATCACATCAAATGCGGAATTCACTGAATTAGTTCAACTAACTCATTTCAGTGGAGTTATACGTGTAGCCTACATTATGAACCAGTTTGTTCTGTTTCATTACAGTGCCTTTTATTTTTGTTTGTATATGTAGTTTAAGTGTTTGTTTATGTTGTTGTAATGTTTGTTGAATGAGTCAGGTGAGTAATGTCCTAATATTGCGTGAATCCTGTCATGTGGGCTCAAGTGTTGCACAAGAATGTGGGTATTTCTCATAAGTCAAATTTCCATGTACACTGTCATAGTTGAGTGAAATAATTGCAAAATGACAATTATTATAAAAATAAAATGGTAGTGTTGATGGATGAGACATCACATGACCACAATTTTTTTGAAACGTGCGCTTATCAATTTTGACCACATAATTTTTGTGTTGAAGTAATGCTGATGTGCTCACTAAAGAAAATACTATATATATATACTTAATGTTCTGTCAATTATTTATCCAGCAAATGTCAACAGATTGTTCTAATATAAAACATTGCATGGGCAATTTGCACTGCAAGTGTGTGTAACGAGAAACCTTTTGAAGAGGTAACTAAGGTAACTTGTTCATCCATTGAGCTGTCATTTGAACGTAATGTGCTCTTTCATAGTCTCTACAAACATACAATACAGCTGGCCCTTCCACCTTCATTCTTACGAATTAGCACAGCCAAACATGACATTTCACAAATACTTTCAGTTTAATTCATTTGTTGTAAATGCAAATACAAAATATAACCAAAACTATAACTTAACCAGATCCTAATGAATTTTAGAATGTCATCTAATACCAATTCTTAATAATTATAGCACAAAATTATTAACTGCTGGATATGTTCTATGTATAAGTTATTATTGCTTGTATATCTTTATCCTCAAACAGTTCTAGAGTTGTACTGTGGAGAGCATTCTGACTGGTTGCATCACCGCCTTGTCGCAGTCTGCAGCGGGTGTGCCCAGGAGGGCCACCAGATGACTGTGTTCTGGGAGCACATGGCTTGTGTTGTGTTTGTCTGTCGCCATGTGCTCTCTCCTGTCTATTGTCTTGCCCCTCCCATCTTGTTACCTCGTTATAGTTTAAGTTGATCCACCTGTGTCTCCCTCGTTAGCCTCCTCGTTTGGTTCCCATTTATTCTCCTTGTGTCTGTCATCCTGTGCTGATCCGTCATTTCTCATTGTGTGTGTTTCGTGTCTGCATGTGTGCAGCTTTAGGCCTGCCTGTCTGTTTTTCCCCTTCGGGGTGGTTTGAGTTTGTTTTTGTTTCATTTTTATTATCAAAATAAATAACCATTTCTCCTGCAATTGAGTCCTCGCTTCATCTCCCCGCACGCACCGTGACACGCCTGGTACGGGAACTGCTCCACTCTCAACCAGAAAGCCCTGAAGAGAGTTGTTGAGCTTCCCTCCCTCCAGAACATCTTCACCCAGCTGTGACCATCTACACTCCATGTGTGAGGAAAGCACGGAGGATCATCAGAGACTCCTGTCACCTGAGCCATGAACTGTTCTCAGTGCTACCATCAGGTAGATGGTACCGCAGTATCTGGACCCGTACCAGGAGACAGCTTCTTCTCGCAGGCCATCAGACTGCTGAACTCCGGACAATAACAACAACACTACACACCCGCCTTTCCCTTACACTGCACTCTATCTACACACCTACATCTGATCAAATGCACATTATTATTATTCTTTAGTTTGGGTTAAACAAATCAATTTTGCTTGGTTGGAACAGCAGCTACGCTAATTATGTCCCTATTTGTTTCTCTGTTTTTGCCACGGGATTGATATCCCGTGGTAACTAGGATTTACACAAGCTTCAGTCTGGATCCAGAACACCTGAGAAGAGATGATGCCAACCCCTCAGAGGACCTCAGATGATGCCAACCCTGAAACAACCCACCAGATCCAGTCTGTATCCAGATCAGATGGTCACTGCAGTCACCCGGATCCAGTACGTATTCAGACCAGATGGTGGATCAGCACCTAGAGAGGACCTCTACAGCCCTGAAAGACAGCGGAGACCAGGACAACTAGATGAACACCAGATACAGATGTTATTCCCCTGTAAACACCTTGTCTCAGACGACCACCGGGACAAGACCACAGGAACCAGATGAGTCTTCTGCACAATGTGACTTTGCTGCAGCCTGAAATTGAACTGATGGTTTTGTCTGGTCAGAGGAGAACTGACCCCCGACTGAGCCTGGTTTCTCCCAAGGTTTTTTCTCCATTCTGTCACCGATGGAGTTTTGGTTCCTTGCCGCTGTCGCCTCTGGCTTGCTTAGTTGGGGACACTTCATTTCCAGCGATATCGTCGCCTTGATTGCACAGATACTATGATACTATGAACTGAGCTGAATGAAGACATCACTGAATTCAATGATGAACTGTCTTTAACTGAAAAATTAGTGTTTACTATTGTCATTTTGCATCATTGACACACAATTTTCCTAATTAATGCTGTTCAGTTGCTTTGACACAATCTGTATTGTTAAAAGCGCTATATAAATAAAGGTGACTTGACTTGACTTGACACCTGTTACACTGACTCTGACTGGCAGCACTGCAGCATGTCCTGCACCGTCCAGCACATGTATATGCTGACTACATCTTCTCCTCTGCTCCATGACAGCCTAATTACACTAAACATCACACCATCAGCATTGTACAGCACATCAATTGCTATCTAACAGCACCAACACTTACATCCCTGTAAGTTATATTTAAGACTATACATACATTATACATATGCAAGTGTCCTGTGTATACTGTGTATTCCCTGGGTATACTGTGTATATTGTGTTAAATGTGTATATTGTGCAAAATGTGTATTTTGTTAATATGTGTATATTGTTATTTATACATATACTGTAAATTGTATTTACATGTTGTTTGTACTGCCTTGGCACAGAGTCTTGCACATAAGAATTTCACCGCTGTTACACTTGTGTACACGATGTGTGACAATAAAGAGAGATTTGATTTTGATTTGATTTGATTTATTATTGCTTTATCCCAGTTTCTAATGATTCTGACAAAAGACTCCCATAGTGTAGTAGGACACCTGCTACTGCTCATACATCACCATGACCACGCGCCCCTTGAGAGTGTGTAATAAAATAATAATATACACTTGAAAACGTTTACATTTTATTATTATTATTGTTGTTGTTGTTGTTGTTGTTATTATTGGTAGCAGCGAGTAATTAAAAAATCAAAATCAAGAAAATAGGCGGTGGTGTGCGATCACCAATTACAAATCGTACCAATGGCGCATTAAAATTTGATTGGATCGACGCTATGACGCGCTTAGAGCTGTTGTAATGATTACCGGTTTATGTCAATATACACTTCCCAGGAATTCTGCAATGCCTCGTGTCGTATATAAAAGTTCAGAGAAGACACGTTTGAAAAAATCTGTGTCAATAATGAAACGGAACGACACGACCGCGCGCATTGCGCACGTCTTCAGGGGAACATTTGTGCACTCCACACCGAGAGCTGCGGTTGGGATACTGCAGAACTGTCTTAGGAGTCGACGATGAGGGCAAGGTTTGTTTAATACTCCATTACAATTTGTTTCATCTCTTTTTGATTTTATTTCGAAGATAAATGTCCTAACCACATAATGTATTAGATATAATAAATTGTCATTTGCCAATGATTTGTAATGTACCTCAATATTATTTTTTTTATAATGGTGTTTTTTTTTCTTTCTTTCTGAACAGATTGCATTTATTGAAAAAGATCAAGATGTGGTCAGTCTTTCAAAATTGTGGGGGTTTGAAATTTCGACATAAAACAGTTTGGACAATAGTGAGTACATCTATCAATATGAATTGTATATATTCTATAGTCTAATATACTTAAGTCTAGCATAAGTCTGTTCAGGGTGCACACAGTCGCTTTTGCATTCAGAACAACCATTCAGCAGGTAACAAAAGAGCAAAAACCTTTTTGTAAACCAGCTTTGTGATGAACATGTAAATATTTGTGAAATAATAAGCATGTACAAGCTTGAAATCTTCCCATATCCATTGCTCTCACCTTGTTGCAGTGCCATTGCTTAATTTTACTCAGTTAGCATTCAATTTTGCTCTAAAGTGAGTTTTTTTATGCCTGGAATGGTTGATACACACATCCATGCGTCTCAGTATAGCTATACTGGCATCGCCTTAGACCTGCCTCTGCTGGAGTGGCTCAACACTTACACTTTCCCTGTGGAAGCCAAGTATAAAGACTTGGAATTTGCCAATAATGTCTACACTAAAGTTGTGGTAAGCTCATTTAAATGGACTACATAAAATCTAAATAAATTTAACTCTAAAGTAAGGTAAATCATTGATGGAAATTATATGGATATAGAATGCATGTTGCAAATATTTCTTTTTCGTTTTTCCCTTTTTGTTGACTGTTTGGCACTGTAGAGAAGAACCGTAAAGAATGGCCCCACTACTGCTTGTTATTTTGCCACAATACACACTGATGCCTCTCTTCTGCTTGGAGAGCTTGCAGGTAAAACACATGCAACCAAGGACACATATATTAAAAGCATTTTCCCTGTGACTGTGTCTGTGTTGGCAAGCACAAACACAGCCTTTCTCTAAACTTTGGAGTCTTGCTTTGTACTATCTTGTCTTAGCTCTTGTTCCTGCCAGTCTGTTAAGTAACTGCATTTATGTTTGCTTTTTTCCATATTATGTAATTAGAGGTGCACTGTGACCTATCATTCTGTGAAGTAAAATTGTAATAACTCTGTGTAAACGTCAATATTATTTAAAAATCCTCTGTCCACTATGTTGCTGTATATAATAATTATCTCACAAGATAATAAATCAATCATTGATTTTAGATGGTGATATACAGTATTTTTGCCCCTTTTCCACTAGATAAGTTCGGACAAAGAGCTTTAGTTGGTAAAGTTTGCATGGACTCCAATTCTGCAGTTCCACAGTACAAAGAAAGTCCAAGCGAATGTAAAGAGGAGACAGATCGGTGAGTTTTGGAGGACTGTGTGACTGACACAATAGTGTTAGTAAACTCATGTACACTGTACAAAATGACTGATTTGATGTCTGATTTTTTGTTATAGATTTGTTATAAGATTCTGCTTCCTCTTGTTGTTTTTTTTACAGTTTCATCAAAGAGCTTCTCAAAAAGGAGGTAAATAACAGGTTCATTCTTATTAATTTAATTGGTTTATTATAAAACTCTAGTTGTTATGCTGATCAGAGTTGGTATTAAATAGTTGTGCCTAAATTATTTCAGGCTCTGTAAATATGAAAATAAAAATATATTATCTGATTGTTTTAGTACCCGAAAGTTAAGCCTGTGGTTACTCCTCGATTCGCTCCCTCCTGTTCCTCCTCACTGCTCAGTGAATTGGGTGAAATCACCAACAACAACAAGCTTCACATTCAGGTTTTTCCTCCTTTCACACATTAACATTTACTTGATAAACAGTGATTTACAAAGGTTAAAGAACATACAATTAACATTCAAGTGGTTTATGGCATTGTTCACATGGTAGAAGTTTGAAATGTGGTATGATGACTTCTTAGGCCCCGATCAGACAGAACGCGTTTTTCAGGTTTGAAAACACGAGGTGCACCACACTGCCTTTTTTTAGGTTGACTGTTTTTAATTAAAAAAATTATTAAATTGTTGTCTTCTGTTTACTAGTTGTGTTGATTATGGAAAAAATGTGACAATATATTTTATATTAATCAACAACAAATTGACAATAAAAATGCTTTATGATATTACTGTCATCCTGATTTTAGTTTAAGTTGTTTAGGTATATTTATTTATTTATTTTTGATCGCTTGTTTCATGATAATACACTGCAAAACAGGTATGTGTGACATCTCTCACACACACACACGCACACACACAGCTCTCATCAGAGGCTCTTAGCTGTCTGTCTCACCTGTCCTTACTGTTTATGAGAGTTCTCAAGTAGGAACACAGCTCTCGATTACATTTGCTTCATGCCCACTACATACAACAAACAAGTTCTAATTTAGTAGCAGATAGTCATTTATTCATGCTTCTAGACTAGTTCTCAATGTTTTTGAACTGAAATTGAGTGGTCAGCATTTCAAGCGTTGACAGCAGTGTCCCTTCAGTATGAAATGCTATACATCTAAAATAATTTTAAACAGCATCTTTTCTAATTGTAAGTTTTATACACGAGTTAAGAGACTATGTGGAATTGTTATACTCAAAAATAGTGATTTGTCACACTACAGGACTATTTAAAGGAACTGTAATAAAGTGACATCTAAAATTATGCACTTTCCCTTATACATTTATATATATATTTTAACAAAATCTTGAAAAGTTTGTCCATGTTAGGGTTAAAATGAGCCCACCCTCAAAAACAGCGGATTGTTCCCCCAACATACACACAACTTTACATATTAAATAATGTATACAGTTATTTATATCATTCATATATGTCAGCTGCCGATTAATTGGCAAAATAATTGATAACCACATGGAGGCGCTAAGAGACTGTGTTTTACACTGCAGCTCTCACTCCAGTCTACTGCCTTACAGCGATGATGTCTCAATTAGGTAATCACTATTAGCAAAGAAAAAACATCAATTATGATGTGCTTCAGTGAGTGTGAGTCATATTTGACTCATATTTTCACAATATACTCATATTTGACTCACATTTTATATTAAAATAAAAAATACCAGTAAACATGATTTACATTGTATATGATTAATTTGTTAGTATTGTAGATTATTCTTTTTTTTTTTTTTTCAAATGATCTGAAACATTTTTATGCATTATTATTTTATGCCATGCAAGCTTGTATCTTTTTCAGCTGAAGTTTGTTGCACCACAATGCCAACATTCCAGTTCTGAACTCTCTGTCAGTCAGGTCTGTCTTGTGTGTTTGGAAAATAATCTGAACACATTGCAAATCTTGCTTATGACTAATCAGGAGACAGAAGCCATGAACCTCCAACATATATTTAATTGGGTGTAATTACAGACATTTTTACAAACCAAAACAACCGCATTCACAGAAGAAAATGTAAGGGACACATTCTTTGCTATATATTCTTGCTGATAAGAACTGGGAAAATGCCCCTCTTAAGAAGTAACTCATGGAATTACTGAATAATAACCCCATGTATTATATTAAACCCCTTAACTGTCACCGTCCCACCTGTGGGACGCTTGGCACTCTTTTTTTTTTTTTTGTCCTTTTTGATTCATCAAATCTTATTAAAGGAATAGTTCACCCAAAAAGAGTTTATTTCTTCATTGGAACAGATTTAGAGAAATACATCACTTGGAAATGTTTTGGACTTGTTTGTGCTTGTAAACAATGCTTGACCTGTGCATATTTCTCTCTGATTCAGACTAGATGACTTTTCACTGGAGAAAGCAATATTATGTATCATGGAACGTTATTTTAGCTGGACGAAATGGCTTGGAGTTAAAAACATCTTAATGATGGTTTTGTTTCTTACTATGCAGCTTTTCACTTCACAAGATGTTAATTGATGGACTGGACTGGAGTCATGAAGATTACTTGTGGATTTTTGTGATGTTTTTATCAGCTGTTTGGACTCTTATTCTGACACTGCAGAGGATCTATTGGTGAGCAAGCGATTTAATGCTAAAATTTTCCAAATCTATTCTGATAAAGAAACAAACTCATCTACATCTCGGGTGGCCTGAGGATGAGTACATTTTCATCAAATTTTAATTTTTGGGTGAGCTATCCCTTTAAATACAAAAATAATAGCAAAATGAAATGAACCTCAAAACTGTCTGCTTTTGCGCTCTAGCACAAGGGCTTGAACCACAGACATCTAGCAAACAGCATAAGTGTCTCAGAGCGAGAGAGAAGCAGAAGTGAGGGAGAACGTATAAACATGGGAGTGAAAGACAGAGGCACACAGTTGGGAGAGAGACGAACGCGCTGACAATGAGACAGAGGCATGAGTAAAGCGCATGTGAGTGGGCGGAGCCTCGCACACAGACGCGGTGGAAGCATGTGAATGGAGAATGAGGTGAGCCTGTGTCATATGCAGTGACGTCATAATACCAATCTAAACCCCGCCCCCTTCCTGCCGCCTCTTAGAATTGCTGGATCAGTCTGGCTGGGAGTTTCCTGGCTAGGCCACACATGGTACATTAAATATTTGTGACAGGCATACATAAGCACTTAACAACACAGTCAATCTTATCTGACCAATCATTTTGACCATAAAATAGTTTAATAGGGTGTAGGAAGATGATTGACTCCTTGTGTAAAAAATTCAATGAGTCAAAGAGGTTCCCATACCTGTCATAATCCCCTCTCTTCATGTAATCTGACTGACTGACTGAATGAACTTCCTGTGTGATCTACCCTGAGGTAGCCTACACAAGCAGCTTTGTGAGCCACACCCAGACACACAAGTTAAAGGGTGATTTTACTCTGCACTGTTAACTGATTACCATCTTCCTGGCTAGCCTCAAGGAACAAAAGCTTGGTACACACGAAACAGCGCGGGAACATTACGGTAAAATTGAGAAAGGGAAAACATTTAAGTTTGGAGTTTCCTATGAACTGAGAATTGTGTAGGATTGGAGTGTTTACTTGTGCGTGGTATTGTTAGGTCGAGAGAGATTGTGTGAGATCAGGGGTGGAACTCACTGCCCTAATTCACTGCATCTGTCATAATCTGGTTGCACCGGCCGTTCTAGTTCATTGTACACAGTTTTAAAATAAATAAATACATACAACAACAAAAAAAACTAACCTCACTAAAACTGAAAAGCTAAGTTTGCTACCTTAAAATTATCTTCACACTTTTTCTATCACTTTGAATGGAGAAATTCAAGATGGAACTGTGGAAACATTCTGAAATTGAGCAGAAATGACACATTTATCATTTCAGGATTTTAAACTTGAAACAAGAAAACATATGCCAATGGGGTAAGAAATAGACTTATTTCAAAGTGAAAATCTGTTTTTCTTACTTCACTGGCAGATTTTTTTCTTATTATTTTAAGCATAAACTTAGTTAACTTTGATACATTTTTCAGAAAACAAGGTTTAATATCATAGGTCATGTTTCGTCACAAGTAAATGTTTCTTGATTTAAGAATGTTTAGGTATTTATACTGGAAAACAAGACAAAATACTGATTAAGAAAATCACTTTTTGCAGTGAGCATTTTTATTAGCCATCAATATACCTTTTACATTTATTTGTAATTGTCGATGAATAGTTTTGTAATATATGTTATATTTGTATTTCTTAATATTTTTGAACTTGTCATTTACATGACCATTTAAATCAGGGATTCCTTTTTTTGTCATCTGAACCCCTTTTGGCCTAAAATATTTTCTTGAAGTACACCCTGAGATTTTAATAATTGAATAATAATAATTTCAATAATTTAACCTCTCATTCACATGTTCACGGTTCTTTGATGCCACTTAATGACATACAGGTAAACAATTTTTTTTTTAACTTTTTAAAAAAAATTAAATTTTTTGATTGAATTAATTATTAGTCAATTTAAAGCTTTTCAACAAATTTAAATGATTTTAAAACGACTTAAATGAGTTTTTCAAAAATTCTGAAAATAAATAAATATTACATTTCCTTCCCGTTTTAAGTATTTCCACCTCCCTCTCAAGATTTCCCAAAACCTAAATTTTCCTTCTTATGACCATGATGCCCATTCACGTTTCATTCCTTTAAAACTCTTTCTTTAAACTCCTGTCTCATGGTTGTGAGCCTTGCCCTCTTCTCCTCAGCCGAACTCACGACTGAGAAGCCAATTTACAGCCTGTAACTCACACAAGGTTTAATGTGGGAAGAACAAGCTGAACTCTATGTGAGAACCCATCTGCTCCCCTGCTGAACAATTTTTATGTCCTGCCTTTAATGCAGCCACAGGTCATTACTTTTACTTGTGATACAGAGTTCTAAGCCACAGTTTTTCCGATCAGCTCTCCTGTTCAACTATGCCTCAATATACCTCTTTGTATCCTTGGTTGCCCCTCCCTCTGACGCCTGCCTACATTCTGTGGCGTAGGCATCTGCCCTCAACATCTGTCACCACCCGTCACTGCGATGTCATCCACCCAGACCGGCTTAACGCCCAGCCCCCTCTGTACACATACAGAGAGCGGGCCGCAGATGCTGACTAGTCAAGAGTATGACAATAACACCAAATGACTGGACAGTGATTCAAAAAGATTTTCCTTTAAGGGACAGAGATGTACTTTGAAGACAACACAGGAAAAGTATATCTGAATATCCTGCGTGCTTGATTGAGGGTGACACTGAGGGTACACACCAGCTGTTGTCATTCCTTAGAGGGTGACACACCGTCTCCAGATGTCTGGCAGGATTGTCAAATCTGCTTTGGTTGCGAGTACAGAAGTGCTAAAGGTGGTCAGGACAGCTGCCGTGAAAACAGGATGTCTTTGCGTCAGCAGCCGGGACAGGTGTGCGAAACAAACGACATCTGAAAAATCATTCGGCTGTCAGGAAATCTACAATTTGGGCCTTCTGCTGTGTGTTATTCAGTATAAGAACGCCTACAAATTACTCACTTAAAAACAATTAACTGCATGACGTCATGGAATTTCCCCCAAAATGGCAACAGAACAACATGACTGTATATTTTCTCTCTGTATATTTTTTTATTTACAATACTTTTTTCTTTAATGCCAGGTAAAAGGATTAAATGCAATACATAAATATGAACACAATAAGGTTTTTTTCATACAAATTTG